TTCCACAGCCGAGAGAATAAGCACGATTTCAGAAGCCTTACCTTACCCTAACGTTCTTGACCACGTCTGTGGAACCAGAATGCCTGTTAAGAATATCTTTAAATATTTTTCGGAGACCTACAAGGATGGTCCCCTAGTTGTCTGCCATCACATTTGCCTAGGTAAGTTCTTTGTAGTTCTTAGGTTTATTGGCGTTGTAGTACGCTGACCGCTGTCTTTTAGTGGTCAGACCTCTCACAAGTGAATGACATGACCCCCTCGGCTTAGTCCAACAGCTCGTTTTTGTCTATTGTTTGTTCTATAGTGATTCTAGACTCAACCTGACCCTTCAAACTAACTGAGCAGGCAGGAGGAAGGCTTCTAATTTGAGGGGTTGACGTCGTTTACATAGATTCCCAATGAAGCTAGCTTTCTCGACGTGCAATCGGTAAGGGACGAGGTTCATACAAAGTCTAAAGCCATTATCTTTTCCGCCATTTCCCTGTTTTATTTTGTATTTTTTATACATAGTTTTTAAAATTCCATAAAAACTCGTTCTCTGCTAATAATACTCATATTTTAATAAATCTATCAATGCAACATGCTTACAGTTATGAACAACAAATACATACATTTCCAGATTTTTGACAAGTGCAGATTTGTCACATTCATTACATGCCCTCTATTTTCACGTGTGATTGCATATGCCAAAATCAACCATAAAATATTAGCAATTAAATATTTGACACAAAAAATGTGTGTGCAAAGAAATATTTAGCTACTCAACCAACTGACCTCATAAGCACCTAAATACATACAATAAGTGCTAGCTTCGTATTAGCTTTCTGGGTATCCGATTTCATGGTCTCCACATTTGTTCAATCATTTTCCATATCATTTCACCTGTTCACCTGCATATTTGTGTACATATTTGAAAATAAAACAAAACTTGCACAAATATGGCTGCATTCATTGGTGGTTGATTTGCTGTGGCAAAATATTTAAATCTGAAAATTGTGTTATGTTGCTGAATGTTCAAAAAATAACCGCATTTAAATTAAAATCGTAAGCACAATAAAATTTATTCTCTTGTTAACTGTACAACAAAAGTCCTAAAATATGCAATTCATTGTACATATTTAGGTATTATAGTATATCCAGTTTATTGATCAACAAAATATGTTTCTAGTTGACATATTTCAACGATGCTTTTCATTTTTTTAAAAGCAAAGCTTAATTTCACTGAAATTTCGGCTGCAATGTTGTGAATCGAAAGTTTAAAATCATAAATTATGCAATGTTATTTATGCTAAATTTCTAGCTAATATTATGATGTTGATTTTACATAATTTTGCGAGTATTTTACTATTCTAGCCGCTATTACTGTCAGTTTTGTTTGACATACACTGCAACAGTGTATAATGGCCTGAAAAATAGCACATACAAAGAACACACCATGGGATTGGGGTTGAAGGTAAGAAACAAGTTGTTAGTGAATAAAGCAATGCGATTGCAAAAGTCTCTATATATTGAATATTGATCAGCGGGCATTTTTAAACAAATAACCATTACGTCTAAAAATATGCAATAAAAAACTGTATACATATTTCTAAAAAATACGACATTTATTGCGCTTGAAAGCAACTTATTTCTTTAGGACAAAATCCAAAATCAAAATTTGCCGAATTTTTCGTAGGCATTCGTAAAAAGAAAAATTAAATTTGAGTGCACCTTTGAAACTGAAAGTCCCAGAAAAATATCGAACATGCCCGAGGAAATCTGCCAAAGTTCTGAAAAAGTCCAAATAGGTCTCGAAACCCTTCTGGAAAATCTCGAAAAATACAAAGAGTTGGAATCTCACAAAGTCCCGAAAAAAACGAAAAACTACAAATCGATACCGAAAAGTCCCAAAAATATTCTAAAAAGCCACACAAAAATTCAGAAATCTTTGCCCGCAAAAGCTTTAATAACTCCACAAAAAAATCCCGAAATGTCCCGAAAAATATATTACCCCTAAAATTTTGGAAAAATATCAAAAATAATTCTTCATAAATCTCACAAATTCCCGAAAATTCCGAAAATCCCCGAATCGTACCAAAAACTATCATAAGATACTGAAAAGTCCCAACGAAATATTACGAAAAGACACAAAAAAATCTGTAATCTTTGCCCAAAAAGGCCTGAATAAGTCCCATCTCGAAAAATTAATCACCGCAAACATTTTTTTTAATCGCGAACAAAACTCGAATAAACACCAATAAACCCACAAAGTCCCGAAAATCATCGATAAGTTCCGTAAAACTCCGAAAAATCCCAAATGGTATCGAAAACTATGGTAAGGTACCAAAAATTCCAAAAAGATACAAAAAATCAGAAATTTTTGCCCCTCAACCTTTAATAAGGCCCAAAAGGTGCCGAAATGCCGTGAAAAATAACTTACTCCGAAATTTTCAGAAAAATACCGAAAATCATTCTGCAGAAATCTCACATGGTCCCGAAAATTCTGGATAAGTTCCGGAAAACTCTGAAGTAAAACCGAATGGTTCCGAAAACTATCGTAAAAGACCGAAACATTCCAACAAAATATTCCGAAAGAACCCAAAAAGAATTCTGAAATCTTTGCCCCTAAACAGTCCTAGTAAGTCCCAAAATATCCCGAAAAATTTATCACCCCAAAAATGTTGTAAAAATCACAAATTAATGCTGAAAACAATATTAGTCAAAAAAAAACCCGAAATGACAAAAATCCTCGCGGTGCCAAAAAGTACCGAAAAAATAACTTTGATGGCAGAGCTTAAAGCCCAAGCTTGTTTGATTCGTATAGATCACGGTCATGTGACCACTTGTTATGCTGTTGCCCCTGCTAACGATGCATCTTTACGTAAAGAGGGTCAGATGAAAAACTACTGTTAGCGTTGTGGCGTTACCCGCTTATTGCCCTCCAAAAACTTTTTTGTTGGGACCAACAACGATTGGTAAATTCAATGACCGTATTTTTATAATAAATACATTTTTTTATAATAAATAAATTAAATAATAAATTAATTAAAAATGTCAAAACTTTAAAAAACAAATCGCACTATTTTTAATACAAATTTTCACCTGCGGCGTTTGTTCTAACAAATAATACAGTGAAACCTCCCATAAGCGTACCGATTGTCACTTACTTTTTGTCCGCTTATGAAAGACGTCCGCTTATGGAAATTTCTTAAAAAATAATATTTAAATTTAAATTTAAAAAAAATGAAACTGCGTGTTTCTAAATTAAAATACATTTTATTCTCCAGCAGACAAAAACAGAATGCATCCAAAATAAATTCAAATTAATTGCGTTTTCTTGTCTACCGACAAACCTGATTTCCCGCTTCGCTCAAGCAACAAGAAGAGGGCAATGAAAAGGTAACATTTTTTCTAGAAAAGTAAACCTCTTTGAATATGGATGTATTTACTTTTGTACATATATGTACATACATAGGTGCATGCGCAAGAGTCAACATCAGACTGAAAAAATAAAATTGTCCGCTTATTAGAAGTTCGCTTCCGTTTATCGAAATGTCCTTGTAGAGGAGAGCATTTTCTATGGAAAAAAAGAAAAATTGTTCGTTCACAAGAATGTGTCTACTTATAGGAGATGTCCGCTTATTAGAGCGTCCGTTAATGAGAGCTTTCACTATATTCAAAACAGGTGAAAATCTGGAAAAAGATTGCGCAATTTTAATAAAAAAGAATTTCGCGTGCGGTCCTATTTTTTTGATGAACGATAATTTGGAACAAATTGCGCGATTCTTTATAACGATATTTTTTATAACAAATTTTCACATCGACCGTGGCGCTTTTTTTAATTATAAATAATATTAAAAAATGAAGATTTGGAATAAAATTCGCGAGCCTTTTTAGTAAAAATTTTCGTCTGGCGCGCTTTTTTTTACCATAAAACAATATTTTAACATACACTTAGTGAAAGTTTGGAATAAAAAATCACCGTTTTCCAACATGTACACAGAATTTTTTTTTTTAATTTACTTATTTCCATATTCGTTGCACTTCTTATTTTCTTAGGTTGTCTACATGTATAGTTTTTGCTTATCTTTTTTAACATTTATTTTCATCGTCTGGCAGCACTAAAATCTGTGTTCAATTGCAACGAGTGGTAAAATTAACAAAAATAGCAAATTACTTAAAACAAAATGCTTATGTGCATTAAAAGTGTTCACAATTAAGTCACATCTATCTATTTCACGCACTTTTGGATGAAAAAATGCATGACATTTGTATCCAGAGGATTGGTGAATTTCGCAACTTCGAGATTTCGGGGTGGGTTTCACTTTTAAAATAAAAATACTCGCTCCTACAACCCCTCATTTTTCGTTTTTTTTTTTTTTTTTCTTGTCACCTTTCAGTAAAATGTTCCAGCTCCCCTCTCAACCACGCAGTGCGACCATTTCCATCCTATCCTTATTCATGATAACTCACTCTCACCAAACAATACATATACATATATGCGGTGCACTTACCACTCCATAATTTTTCATACATATATGTGAGGTGGAGCCACTCTCCATGCTCACTTAATGGTTATTTTATTCACGACGTGTCCAGTCAAATTCAATTTATTTTACGTTTTTCCCATACAGATTGTCCTCATATAAGCACTTAGGAGATATTCATTCAAGCAACTGCAACATGCATAAAGATAAATTCACAACAGCGTGTTGAGAACAAGCTCACCATAGAGAGTACAGTCCAGCATGTGAGTGACAATACAAAAGTGGAAGTAGAAAAAGAATAAACTCGTAAGCAAATAAGTGTTAAAATATCGTGCATACCTATGTATGTATATATACGGTTGGATATAACAAGCATTCATGCAACAACAACCAAAAATATAAGTATACATTTTGACCAAGTTGTTCACTTAAACAAGTGAACGCCAAGTGCTTCACTCCAGCAGCGAGACTTCGCCTCTTTCGAATTGCTGTCCATCGCAAACAGCCAGCCAGCCGGCTGCCCAGCTAGCCAACATGGATCTCCATAACTTTAGCAACAACATGCATAGCAACATAACACTGCCACCCGCAACAACAACACCAGCAACATCTACATATTTTACATACAGCATACCGGGCATGGATATCACACCGGGTCCGGTCGCTTTTACCTATGTCAGTGAATTTTTATCACTTATCACACCAGCGGAACTGCCACTCGGTAAGTGTTAGTATTTGTATGTATGTGTGAATGTGTGCTAAGGAAAAGCGAAATTTTGATGGTGAGCAAATGCGAATGAAAATGTGTATTGGATAGGAAATGTGTGTGTGAGTAAGCGTTTAATATGCATATTTATATGTATGTATGTAGGTCGTGTGCGCTTGTAAGCTTGTGTACATGTGTTTTATAGCACCGGTAAGTTACATAGTGTAGAGATAAATATGAGTGAATATGGGCGTCATGAGATATTTTATGACGTCACCAATCTATTAAAACCAACTAAAAGGAATGTACTTTACGTATCGTTGGGGACTTGAATATTGGCCTGAGTGTCTTATAACAGGTATCAGCGCAATATTTATAATATAGTATATACCTTAAAATATGTAAAATATGTATTAAAATAAATAAGTCGAAAGAATTGAAAATCCAAAAGTATTGTAAGCTTCTTGAAACCTTAAAATCAAGGATTATACGTGCAGGGAATTGAAATTCTCCATATACTTAGCCAAATCGTCTCTTTAAGAAAGGCATTTGACGCATTAGCGATTTGTCAGTCTTTGAGGCATCCAATTGGTTGAGAGCCATTCATAGGGTTTAGTCAATCAGAGATCAGGTACATTATGTGTCATATGAATAGGTATCATTGGAACCGGCGATGAGTTGCTGACGACTGCAAAATAACCACGTAGAAATAATGAGTTACGAATCCTGGCAGGAACACAAATTATAGGAACCATTTACTGTTTGATTAACGGGGATAGTACAGATCATTTTCTTTGTAGCTGTCTGGTGTTCGCTAGTCATCATCTTCTTATTGCGCACTATAACAATTTATCGGCTTGGACCGTGACCAAAAAACGTCACCAATTTCCTCTCTCTTTTGCGAATTTTCGGCAGTTCATCTCGAGTGCAGACGAAAACATCTGCACTTTGTCCTTCCATTTTGTTTGTGGGCTCCCTTGCGGTATCTGTAATTTCTTGCCTGAGTGTTGTTAGAATAAGTGGGAGAAAGTGTTAGAATTCATATCAGAGTGAAATATGTAGTTTAGGTGTATATAGTAAAATTTCACAAAAATAATTTTGTATAACATTTTAACTAGTGTTGGAAAGTATCGAGTTCTTTTGAGGATCGAGTTCTTTGGCATCGATACTTGTAAGGATCGGCTATTTTTGAGAGTAACATTTCAAATTGATGGCTAACTGTACTGGGTACAGGTATTGTACTTAAAAATTATTGAAACTTAGTACAAACATTTCGGAATAACGGTAAATGTAAATAGAACTCAGCACTTTTAAGTATTTTTTCGACACATGATACTGAGTACTTTGAATCGATGTATCAAAGTGATGATTGGAACAGGGTATTTTTGAGTAAATTCATTCTTTCTTTCAAGTTCAGAGTACTTTCGAATTATTTGAGAGTACTGAATACTTTGGAGTGCTCAGTATCGATACTTTTAAAAATCGGGTACTGTCGATTCTTTTCAGAACGATACTAATATTAACCCATTAACTCTCCCAAGAAAGGGTCGTTTTGACAACTTTTTTGGAAAGTCTGAATAAAATGACATTTGGGAGGGCGCTAAAGGAAGAAAATTTCTCATTTCGTGGACGAAACCACAAATCTTCAAAACGGTTTTCACTGAACTTGTCAGGTGACTGCCGTATATTTCTTTGGCAGAATAATAATTAAATAAAAGGGGTCAGTTCCAATTGCAAATGCGTATAGCGCACATCAATTCGGCGTCATTTCGAGAACGCTTAAGGATAAAATCGTATGCTTAATATAAAGATAGGTAGTTGCAGCAATGGGTCTGGCGGTAAACGAGGACAAGAGAAAGATTTTGCGAAAGATTGATGGGCCTTTACGCGTTGGCGATGGCGAGTACCCCAGACGATGGAACGATGAGCCGTATGAGGTTATCGCTTGCGTGTGTACAGAGCCAAAGAAGAAAGATATATTTTTAACATACAAAAAATAAAATATGATAATGGTGGTATCGACATTTCGGAAATGTTTTCAGAGTATGCCGAGCAAACAGAGTACATCTTAAGTATTACGTATTAATAATATATTTTAGACTGGTGCTCTGCCCAGTCATAAACTTAATTGACGACGGCCTAATCCTGTTCAGTGAAAAAAAAAATATTTGGTAATACTTTTAAATTTTTTATTTCTAACGCAACAAACTCCCTCCATGATTTTCGCCCATATATATACAGAGATACATGAGGGTTTTACTAGAAGTCATATCTTGGATTCACAATGTTATGCCGCAATCAGGGTAAGCGCTGTATTCTATCTGAGTACGCATGCGTATAGTTCAGGTTAGCTTGTCGGATTGAAATATGTTTTGATAGATCACCTAAAGCAACAAAACACTGAATCGTATCCTTATGGTCAAAAGTCAGTTGTCAAATGCCACCACCGCATACAAATCCAAGATTATTCACCACCCCTACATCCTTCGTATCTCCCATTCACCCAACCAACAGTCTCCGTCCCGTCGTATTACCATTTTCTTCCCTCGTCTTGTCGTCGTCAGACCCCTTGTCCCTTTTTTAGCATCATCCCTTCACTGGATATATCGGTTATCCTTTTTGCCCACTGTCGGTCATGCCCGTTCGTCTACTCTTCGGTCTACTTTTGTCAATCTGTCCGTCCGTTCGTAATTCATTTTGGTAAGCTTCACTCATCACACACATATCTTTCACCTTTAACACTTCATTTTGGTTCTTTGTTTTACATAATTCTCTTGATTAAATTATGTATCTTCACACCCAGGGCTATAGTCAGAGAGGGCTTGGTAATCTTGATCTGGTTCGCAACGAGATATTTATATTGAGGTGCAATAACTTTTAGACGAGCTTTTGCATAGATTTCGGTACTAAATATTATCGATAACAGCATTGTACTGCTCCATGGATCTATCATAAGATAAGAGCGGAACTGGGTATCCTCAACGGGTAAAGTGGTTCCTCTTGTGGCTGGATAATTCACTGACTCGCTATAGGTTGCTGGCATCTTCAGAGTAAGTGGATGTGCCTAATGTAGGAATTCATGTCACTGGACTTATCGCTTGACTACAGCAAGTCTATGACGCCTAACTGATATTCCAATCAATCGCCATTTAGCTTCCATTGACCAGTTTAGCGATGCTATAAGAACACCTAATTCAACCTACCAAAGAGATATAAAATGCATAAGCTTTGTTTAGTATTAAATTGAATAGTGGAGCACCTATAAATCACCCAGCGGTTCTTCAAGCATACATGCGCACATATTAAAGTTTATCACTTATTTTCAGGTTTCATGTTTATCACCAAAAGGCAATGACCATCCGCTAACGAGATCACTGACCATCAGACAATAACACGGACAAATAAACAACACAAACACACACATAGACACACGTACATACTTTTACATGTATGTATGTATGTATGTATGAATGTGGTGAATTAAGTCGCGTCTAAAATATATTATCCTCGACAGTCAATTGGGCATTTTAACGGCACAGTCGTGTCTAATTTCAGAATTTAGTGACGCCAGTTAAGTGCACTCAAGCACAGCTGTCATGTGGGTGCTGCAACATGTCTGCCATAGTATAAGTATGTATGCATGACTTAACAGCAGAGAGGTGTGTAGACAAATCGAACAAATGAGCTGTTTGAATTTTCCACACGCAAAGCCAAATTATGTGCAGAGGTGATACTAAAATATTTGCAGTAGTTAAACAGAGAACACCCACACATCTACGAATATGCATGCATATGTAGGTACGTGTGTGCACATTCGTGAATTTATTTGTTTGTTTACTTGTATTTTCGATTTCTATGCCCACTTATTTTCATTTTCTCACCCATTTACGCCAGCCAATAAATTGTCCACATACGGTTGCGGCATTTTATTACCAAAATTATTGAGTATCTGTAGTACCATTTATTGTTGTAGGGACAAGTTCCTGCCTGTGCAGAATGTAAAGTACTAACATATTATATTTAAGAGTCAATGCGTGTAACTACTCCAATAGACAGATATCAGCAGAAGTTTGCATAAGGATAGAAATGTATAGGAAATTATTAAAGGGAAATGAAAATTTTTGGTCATTGAACTTGTAAAGTAGAATTTTCTGAAATTTGCTGTTGAAGGAAAGTCCTATTCTAGAAGCATAATTACTACAATCCTGAGCTCTGCTACCCATGTCCTGCTTGGCAAATCCACTACTCTTCTTCTGCTATGGTAATGCCAAAGCTTGCTATCTTATAATTCTTGAATCCGAACCATTTATTCCTTGCTTGATTTAGCAAATGCAAGTGGTTTTTGTCTGACCGCAACAGATTCAACCAATTGGCCAATGTATCGACTCTGTCGTTACCAGCTAAGTATGTTCGTGCGGATGGAGTCCCACCTGTAAACCTACGAGGAAACCTAGAGAAGAGAGGTAGACAATGACTGACTCATTGAAAGTAGCTCGATTTTTCATTCTTTAACTAGCGCAGACTTAGATGGTAGGGTAGGTATATGTGACTGTCACTACCTGGCGCGAACACACATAGGCCACGAGTCGAAGACAATTTTTAACCTCGACCAAGAGTTCTCACTCTCCCTTGCCAAATCTTTTTGAATCCTTTAAGAAACTCGTCGGGCAATTTTTCAAGGTTACTAAAGAAAGGAGACACCAGCAAGCGCAATCTGCTTCTCGATAATTCGGGGCAGTTACTGAGAAGGTAACTTCTGCAGCATCTATGGTAAGGTACTCCAAGTCGTGCTGCGTGTAAGGGCAGTGGCCTGTTAGAGCACCAACTGTATGAGATATGTCCTCTCTCTTTAGTGAATATAAGCTTCAAGATCTTTTTCGATCCCACTAAGGCCAAGTTTGCCTAAAAATTCTAGTTTGCATCCATCTCTTGCTCGCGCCAACATAGATAATTTCGCTTAAAAGCAGCTTGCAAGAGGCGAAGGGCGTACCAGTGCGTTCTTTTCCCGGAAGAGTCTGCTTGGTCGAGCCCCCTCGCACCCCCCTCGCAAGGTCTTCCGCCATACAGTTACCCTCTGTGTCTCTATGACCGCGAACCCAAATGAAGTTTAGACAGTTCTGCTTATCCAACTCTTTCAGAGATCGGCGACAGTCCAGCACACACAGCTTTAATTCCTGCCTGGCTGTAACTAAGGATGAACACCTCTTTACCTTTTTAATCGGTACGAAGTTCGTTTATAGCCTCCATTAAAGCTAAGACCTCATCTCTGTGAAAATACTATACTACCGGGTGGAGTATAACAGCTTTCCTCGCTTATTCTTCTCTGATTGAGATTTTCATGACGAACTTTCTATCCGAAATCAGAGTGTCAATACAACGGTCTGTATAGCCCTTAAGAAAGCTATATTTTTCCAGAATACAGGAGTGACCCAGAAATACCAATTCCCATTCTCTCTTAACCGGAGTGCAGCATGTGTATATGTATGTACATATGTTTACTCAGAACTTCATCGTGGCATAAGCTGACTTGGTTTGCCAAATGCTGAGACCGAGCTATGATGGCAAGCATACCTTGGTCTTTTGTCCATTGCCTTGCAAAAGCTAATACGATAACCGGTAAATCTTTTGGAACAATTCCACATTAATTTGAATATACCTCGACCTCATTTGGTGAAGAAAAAGTGCTAAGCTACCAAGACAATACATTGTTGCACTTGTTGAGTCATCATCGCAAATATCTATAGCTTGGGCTGACAACTAATACCTCAGCCGTCCTATTACCGCATTGAGCTTCCTCCGAATATTTCCTGTTATTAAACCTAACCACTCTTTTATAGAGCCGGAAAAGCAACATTTCAACTGAGAATCAGACATATTCTTGTGAGGAAACCCATCCCCGTGCAAGGATACCAGACTATCAACAGTTAGGAGTCTCTAAAGCTCCTCCTTGGTGACCATTTTCCTTGCGGGCAATCCCTTGTAGAAACTTCTGTCGGATAAGGGCGTACAAACCCGTAATGTCAGAGTAGCCGAAGACCGGTAAGAGCTCTCAGTTGCTCCAGAGATTGTTTGGTCTGTACATATCAAAAGCTCAGCATGCTTACAATGTATTGGGGACTGCCCTTCTCACAATCATATAGTGGTCAGAGTGTGTTTGGTTTTAAATTAATGGCCAGGTCAGAGACCATATTGCCAGATCATTCAGGATAAAGATACATTGCACAAATGTTTGAATTTTCAATTTACTCGACCACGCAGTCGAGTAGCCAAATGCATTTGTTACAGAAATTTTATTAATAAAATTACCAACAGCACTCGCCTCGAGCACGTGACCGAGAAGCCATTTTGCGAGGACAGAGGAAGCCTATTGCGCTTTTTTCAATGAGGGGTATATTTCTGTACATCCTATATTCTCTGACGCAAGTGGTCTCGCCGTTAATTCCAGTAACACGGAACTGATTTTATTTAGGGAGTTGGGCCCCTTTCTCGCTTAATGCCCTGCCGAAGCTCAAGCTCCAATCAGGCTCAGGGAAGCCATATATCTAACTTGCCCATCGCATAGTCACTTTCCAATTCTTGAAAGTTTCGATTTCTTTCACGGGTAACGTCGTCTCCGTAGTAGCTCCAACCAACTCTATCTCTTCTCACTTTCTCTAAAGAGATGCTTGGTATGAGCTTAGTGGCTGCAGGGACGGAACAATGAACTTTCTCACAGCTGACTTGAAGCTTGGTGGAAGTGTTGGTGGGCCATTTTCTGTCACAAGCTCGGGATATCGCGACATCAAATTTAGGCTTCCATACTTCTGTAGCGTTTTTCAAGCAAAAATATCTGCCGTTAAGGAAGCTGTAAATGTAATGTTTAAGATTATAACGTCAATAAAGAATGTAAGCATCTACTATTATAGGAAAGCAGCAATCAGGTTCCTAAGCTCACTTATGTTGCGATAAAAATTAGTTACGGAGTGCCTCACCAAATTTTAGTTGCGTTGGAAAAATTTCCAATTAGACTTATTTATAGGGGTACCAAGCTAATGTCGCTAAAGAAATATGCAAAGCTGACGAGTTGCGGAAAAAAGTTGCCCTTGAGATGATATAGATACTGGGCAGGGAGCCAATGGGAGCGCCACTGATCCCATATGGTTTTCTCTTTGACAGATGGGTCTCAGGTCGGCACAGCGAATATGGATCGGGTAGCGGCCAAAGGTGCTACTTATGTAAAACCAGAGCTCTCACATTACTCAAATACTCAAAAAGCTTTTTTATTGGAAAAATTACTTCGAATTCAAAAATTCAGAGGACTTATCACACTGCGAGGCTGTATATCATACAAACATACATGCGAGTATAAGGTGTATGATGAGAAAAGGTGTATTACGATGCTGTATGTAATAAAGTTTTCTGATGTACTTAAACGAGTTGATGAGAAAATATGAGAAAAGATGTGTTACCCCAGCCAGCAAAATCGTCGTAAACAAGCTCGTAATTGGATATTTTCTCGAAGAAAAACCGGATTAAAAATCGTTTATGATAGCCGTTTACGACCCTTTTTCGAGCACTTTTTCGCTTTAAATTGTGCATCGTCTACGAACAGTCGTAAACGGATCGAAAAAGCATTCGTATGCGAATATTTTTACGTCCGTTTGTTAATTGTAAACGAGTCTCGTAAACGATTAATTTACGTTAAAAAAGCGTTTTTTACACTGCTTTATCTACTGTTTTTGAATGCTAAAAATAAAGGCAATTAATTAATTAAAATTATTTAGTTCTTTTATTGAATGGAATTATAATTAATAAATATTTATAGTGCCGGATCAAAGTATTGGCACATAGAATTTTTCGCAATGTATGCAAAGTTTTTTACTTGAATTTCTTTTCGCACATTTTTTTTTTTAGTTAGTATGAAGACCTACTTTCAAATCAGATTTTTGAGAAAAATTCTAAGTATGCAGTTTTATATCCCATTATATTTTAGTATAACATAGTGCAAGCTTGAAGTTGCTAGAAAACCGCGTTGATTTTTGGCAATTTTTTCACGCAGTTTCTTCCCTGCAAATTATGTGCGACATTTTTTTTTTTTGTATGAAAGAAACTGCGTATAAAAAATTGCCAAAAAACAAAGAGGTTTTCTAGCTATTCAAGCGTGCACTTTATTATACTAAAATTAAATGGGCTATAAAACTGCATACTTGGAATTTTTCTAAAAAATCTGATTTGAAAGTAGAACTTCATACTAACCATATTTTTATAAAAAACAATTAGAGAAGAAATCAGAATAAAAAACTTTGCATTCATGGCGAAAAATTCTCTGTACCAATATTTCTTCCCGGCACTGTATATGTGAAGATATTTTCAGATAAATAAATATTAACAAACTATCTATTAACAAATTAACAATTAAATAAGAAGGGTTTAATATATATTATAAAGTAGCTGAATTTATTTTTTATCCTTTTTGCCGATAGGCTGCCAATTTTTTTTGCCGGTTTTGAAACGGAAATAAAAACTTCTTCGTCGGAGTTAAATTTTTGACGAAAAGCTCCTAAGAAAATAAAGTGAAAGATTAAACTCCATTGGAATTCGGAAAATTTAATTAAGTAAAAAGTGTTAATAAATAATATTATTATCCGTACTTCTTATTGCCGCAGTCGTTGCCAAACCAATAGCGCTATAGGGGAATTAAACGTTTACATCCTTTAGTGTTGCTCCGCGCAGCCTGTGAAAGAATTGCAAAACTCGTTAAGTTAATTTGTATTTTTGAATTACATATGTAGTAGCTACTTACAAGAAGTTTAAATATAAAAGAAAGTGGTAGATCGTCCTTTGCGTTTGCACCAGTCTGCCAATAAATCACATACTTAATAATTTTCTTAAATTAAAAATTTAACAAACTACTTACTTATAAAATATTGTGATTGAAGAAAAATTGTCAACAAAACTAAAATTTTTTCTTGTGCTGACAAATTACTACAAGCCTCTTTCTATTATATTTTTTTGTTTTATCGTTTACGAGCTTTTCTCTAACTTTTTGGTGATACGAGAATCCCTCGTAAAACATAATGTTCGTAAAATGTACGTTTTCTTGCTGGCTGGGACGATATGATGTGTTAGCCAATGTTGTTTGTTGTAATGCTTTCTGCTGTAATGTGAACAGATGTGTCATCATGTGAAATGTTGCGTTGTTATGCGAAGTGAAATGTTGGCATGTGAAATAAAAGATACCTTGTTGATAACATTTCCGGTAAGAGTTTGTGCAAAATGATAGTGGTGAGCGCGTAAATGTAGCATGAATATGGTATGAGACAACGTATCTACATACTATTATTTTCTTTCTAAATAAACCCTTCATATCAAATAAATTTTTCAAAATGTGGCTGCCTATTCCTTTTTCTTAGATTTGGTGCGTCAGTTTTTGCATACGAACCTCACGCTGATCGACTTTACCAAAGATGTGAGTATTACAAGAGAGTATCATAAGTCTACAAAAGGCATCACTTAAAAAATTATACAAACTTCTAACATTTTAAAACTGGAAGCACAATAAAGTTTTTGCAAGTTTAAAAATCTTTACACAAAATAGTCAAACAACTATTTTTCTTCATATGATTTGTTCCTTCTTTCACCTTTTCCAGTGTCTCTGTTGAAGTTTTTTCAACAAAAAAAATTACTGCCATCCACTTTTTGCATTCCCTTATCCTCATATTCGCATTTTAGCTGTTATTTTATCACTCTATCTCCTCCCACATTTAGGCGATCAAAATCGAATCCGGCTTCTTGGCCATCATGAGCATCTTTGCCATACTGGCGCTTGTGCCGCTCATCTCCACCTGCGCTTGGTGTTGCGGACGACGCGCCGATCAGGACGAAGCCGAATTCATACGCAATGCACCTGTGAACATACATCACGAATCGCTACAACAGGCGTTGAATTGTCGAAAGAGTGCGTCCGTGGTGACACTCTGGATAACATTCATACTCTTGGCGTGAGTATGCTGAGGTCAAAAGCTGTCAAATTGCTATGAAATGTTGAAAAATATTCCAATTTTCTTTTCTAATGTTGCATTCTACTTCTTCTTCTTTTTCCTTTTCTTCTTCTTGTTTTCCTCATTCATTTTGTGCAGGTTGAGCGATTTTTGCATATTTTATGCGAATAGCCGTCTAGCCGCCAATGTTGAAATGACGCCCGAAATGGTCAAGTCGACTGTGCACGACATGGAAGTATTTCTCAAAGACACACACCTACAAATCAAACATAAGTTGGATAATGGTTTTCATGTAGCTGTCGAAAAAGTTGTCAAAGATTTGCAAGGTCAGTATGCGTATGCGATGGTGAGTGTGCGTGCATATGCGTTGTAGGCGCGCTTGTAACGGGTGATTTTTTTGAGGTTAGGATTTTCATGCATTAGTATTTGACAGATCACGTGGGATTTCAGACATGGTGTCAAAGAGAAAGATGCTCAGTATGCTTTGACATTTCATCATGAATAGACTTACTAACGAGCAACGCTTGCAAATCATTGAATTTTATTACCTAGAAAAGTTGGCAGAAAATCCGCTTTTTTATCGACAAATTTTGTTCAGCGATGAGGCTCATTTCTGGTTGAATGGCTTCGTAAATAAGCAAAATTGCCGCATTTGGAGTGAAGAGCAACCAGAAGCCGTTCAAGAACTGCCCATGCATCCCGAAAAATGCACTGTTTGGTGTGGTTTGTACGCTGGTGGAATCATTGGACCGTATTTTTTCAAAGATGCTGTTGGACGCAACGTTACGGTGAATGGCGATCGCTATCGTTCGATGCTAACAAACTTTTTGTTGCCAAAAATGGAAGAACTGAACTTGGTTGACATGTGGTTTCAACAAGATGGCGCTACATGCCACACAGCTCGCGATTCTATGGCCATTTTGAGGGAAAACTTCGGAGAACAATTCATCTCAAGAAATGGACCGGTAAGTTGGCCACCAAGATCATGCGATTTGACGCCTTTAGACTATTTTTTGTGGGGCTACGTCAAGTCTAAAGTCTACAGAAATAAGCCAGCAACTATTCCAGCTTTGGAAGACAACATTTCCGAAGAAATTCGGGCTATTCCGGCCGAAATGCTCGAAAAAGTTGCCCAAAATTGGACTTTCCGAATGGACCACCTAAGACGCAGCCGCGGTCAACATTTAAATGAAATTATCTTCAAAAAGTAAATGTCATGGACCAATCTAACGTTTCAAATAAAGAACCGATGAGATTTTGCAAATTTTATGCGTTTTTTTTAAAAAAAAAGGTATCAAGCTCTTAAAAAATCACCCGTTATTACGTGCTACATATTTTTTTTCTCTCACTTTACAGTCAAAGTTATAATTCATATTTTACCCTACCCGTTCCTCTCTTAGTCTCTTCTTCTTCTGTTTTTCTGTCCACTGCCTTTTACTCGATGCACTCACATTATTTATTTGATTTTCGTCCGTTATGCTGCTGGCGGCCATTCGTCCAACCAAACCCAACGCTATCTGTCTACTGCCCCATTGGACTTGCTTGTAATTGGACATTCCTGCAATGCTGGCTTGCATGTTTTCTACTATTCAGACGTCGATGTTCTCCTTGGGGAGCCTATCCAAGCGGAAATTTCAGCACACACTGGCATTGAGCTGGCATATGATTCATTGGCGACCATCAGCTTGGGTAAGGTGAAATTTGTTGGAAAATCATATTGGAAAGAGTAACTACAGTGGGCGGTGAGAAGTTCCCACAAAAGTAACGAGTGTTGCTAAAAAAACGTTGAGATAAATAGTAGTCGGTTCGAAGTTGGTAAATGGTTAAGGGGACGACGACGCGAAATAAAAGTAATTGAGTACAATGCGCTCATCTATTCCTATTTAAATATCCCTAAGGTACGTTTTCGCATTGGAACCTTAACTCGTATGTGAGCTATAGATTTCTACAAAAATTTAAAACTAACTAGGTTAGGTTAGGATGGGAGATTGTCCTTTGAGATACCACATTCTGAACTTGATACTTAGTCGATAAAAAACGCCCCAAGCCGATTATGTATTTACTAATTCGGCTAATCTTAACTGCCCAGAGCACCACGGGGCTATTAATGATATGAAAGCCAAAGTACTTCAACCTGAGCCTCGCAAATGCTGGGCATCTATGAATGTAATGTTGAGGTGATTACAGCTCGTCATCTTCCAGTCAACTGCGACATACGGGGGCGTTGCTGCGTCAATACCGATTGGAAAGTGACCCGTTAAAACCCCTACCAAAAGTGAGAGCTGTGACTTTGTGAGTATGAGGAGTGCCCTCGGCTACCCTCTGTCCACACTCGGCCAGATCGCGCATATGCTGACATGAGGTCCATCTATCCAAGAGTGATCAATGACTGCGGCTGGGGGCTCTTTATCCGGCCACAGAGTTCGTCGTCAGCCACAGAGTTCGCCGCAATGTCGCTGTGACCCGGAACCCGCATAAGCCTAATACAGAAGTATTCCAACGCGACCGAGAGAGAGAGAGAGCAAACATTCATTAACCAAGTTAGAGCGCACCCCCAACATTCTCAAGGCCCTGATTTCTGCTTGGCTATCAGAATAAATGCTTAACTCCCTGACTGGCATAACTCTCCGGAGCAGAGAATGCACCGCCTTCTTGATAGCAGCCACTTCCGCCTGAAATACACTCCAGAAGTCCGGGAGTTTGAACTTAGTGCTTATTTAAAGCTCTCTACAGAAGACTCAACCGCCAACCCTGCCGTCCAGTTTCGATCCATCTGTGAAGAGGTTCACCGCTCCCCCTCTGCAGAAGTTCCGCCCGGTCCAATCCTCTCTTGAGGGAATGTGAGCAGAGAAGAAGCTCCTTAGCCATTTTGGTGGCGCAGTAATCTGTGCGATCAGGGATGATATCGAGCCTCCTAGAACTCCATAGTGTCCAGTAGTTAAGTCGATCAACCCAATAATAGCTGTTCGCGCCACGGCAAAGTTTCCTGCAACATCGGCAGGCACTTTGTTCATCATTACGTTCAATGCTAATTTGGCTTTGGTCCGCAGCGTCCCACTAATACCAAAGAAAGCAGCCCATTATGCGCGCTCCAGCTCTTAGCTAGTGTAGCCTTTTTCAGTAAGTTCCACCAGACTAGCGCGCCATAAAATATAATTGGCTTCACCACGGTCTCGTAGAGCCAAAAGACGACTTTGGGCGAAATACTTCTTCTCTTTCCAATAGCTCCCCTACAGCAATATAAGGCCACTGATGCCTTCCTTGCTCTTTCCTCGATGTTTAGCCTCCACGACAACTTTCTGTCAAGGATCAAGCCCAAGCAGAGTCGGGGATTTTATACTTTCTAGTGAATAAATCCAGTTCTGTCTGGTTGGGATTGGCGGCGAAGCGACTTTTGGTCGCCCAGTTCGTAGCTATGTTAAGACACCGCCGAGTATCTCTAGCTCCTCTAGTAGGTCGTTCACCAGGACCATGTGAATTTTAGTTAGTTTAGATTTCGGGACCAGACCAACGGTACCGATCTGAAAACTGTGGGAATGGGCGAAATCGGGAATTCATATTTACTAGGAGTGCCAGTTACTGTCGAAATTCGATCGTACAAAATTTCTTACCGGAAAATCTCCTGCTTTGGAACTAAAGCGTGACTATAACTTTTTATATCTTTGAAAGTATTTGACAAGACTTGGAATTGACAAGATATTTTCCAGTTTGTCCATAATTTTCGATAATTTGTTACATATTGATCATTAAATGACTCAGCAAAATTCGATAACTACTAATTTTAACAATTTTGGATAAATATCAATAACTGTGCATTTCGAGGGCTCCATAAACTTCGATAACCCAAAAGTGTATATAAATAGATAACTCGATAAACTTTGGATACTTCTATAAACCTCGATAAACAGTGATAACTCGATAAACTTATTAAGCGTTGAAATTTCCATAGCTCGATATATTTCCGAACTTCCAAAAACTTCGATTCGATAAATCGACAAATTTCAGTAAATCAATAAATACGGATAACTCGATAGTTTTAAAGAACTCGATGCAATACGATAACTCAATGAATTTCGTTAACTCTATAAATAATGATAGTTCAATAAATATCGATAACTTGATAAATTTAATAACTAAATAATTTTCGACAATCCCATAAATTTGTGTGTCTCGATAACTATCCCTAAATTTCGACAACTAAGTTTCTGTGTCTATAAATTTCGACAACTCAATTAATGTTGATCAATTTGAATAATTCGATACGTTGCGATATTTCAATAGACATAGATAACTCGATAAATTTCGATAACCATAAACTTCGTTGATTGAACACGTTGCAAAAACAGCTGTACATAATATTCATTTCATAATTTTTTCTTAGATTACTACCTTCTTATTACCCACCCAAATTGCTAATTAATTTTTTAAGGGAGAAACCGTCACAGGCCTGTGTTATGCACCTAACAATCTACCGACATCGTGTGATTTATTTATTAAATTCCCTTCTTGCTTTCTGCAAATATCACAAACCTATAAGCGAGTACTCGGATCTCAACCCGCACAACGCGCATGATTCGTGTCTATGTATGTATGTATATGCATTTCTGCCACAAACCAGCTAGCTAGTACGTAAATCTGTTTCGCTTGTACCATTATAAATTTACAAGTACAAGAGAACATATTTCTATGCTATTATATATTAAATTCTAAACTGGACATGATTTGTCATAATAAAAGGATACTCCCATTGCGATAATATGTATGTACAAACATATGTAAGTAGTAACATAAACTAACAAAATATTTATTTTAAAATCTTATCAGTATTTGTTATGATTTTTTATTGCGCACATTATATTGTCGGACAAGTTATGACTTGTTGAAGCACATTCTCAACCGAACTACTACAGAGCATTACAACTTAGCGCATGTGGGCTTATGTTAACGTTTATTGTGACTCACAGAAGTTTTCAAATATTTTTTTTTTCTTTTTACTTCTTTTAAATTTATCCGAATTTCTCTTCTCTAGTTAGTCCGTAGCAAGATTTTCATTTTTTTTTTCGTACTCCTCTCCCCCACAGCCAACGCCGAGTTGATCTACCGCGTACTAATGCTGCAGGAGACAGTGGGGCGTGCGTTGAAAATCTCACAAGAGGCCGCCGCTCGCATGGAGGAACTACAAATACAATTGTCCGTGTTGCAACGTCAGTGCACTTACCGCGACCGGCCGCTCTGCGACACGTTGCGGATACGAAGTTTTGAAGAGAATGGCATTATTGATGCACTCAAGACGGTTAGTTGGCCGAATGTTTTGGATTGTAGTTACATGTTGTCGTTTTGTTGCTTTTTTTTTTGTTTTCTTGTATTTCGTATTTTTGCGCTTGTAACGGTAGTGTGACAGCAAGTAGCAAACGTTTTTTGCTTCTTTACTTCCGCCCGGCGTTGCTGCGCTGCTTTTGACTAGTAGCTCCACTGCTATTTGGCATCTGACAAATGAAATTTTCATTTCACGTTTGCGCTTCACACTTTTGTTGCAGTGGTTTTTTTCTTTGCTTTTTATTTCACTTTATTTTGTAAAGTTATGACAGCTATTTTGAACCACATTCTTCTATAAACTTTTCTTCTTCATTTTTTTTTCTGGTCTCTACATTTTGTTTTTTTTTTTTTTGCTTTCTTGTAACTCCTCTACTTTATTTGCCGGTAATTTGTCAGCTGCAAGAGGACCAGACAATCTTTCGCATGCGTTACTTGGGCGAAATTGAATTTGGTGCAACTGTCAAAAATTTGACATCTGAAGTTGGTGTGTCACGTTCAATTTTCAGTAATTTCCCGCAACAAGTTAAGCACGACACGGCATACGAACGGAACTGTAAGTAGCGAGTGTTTTGTTTTTATTTATTTGATTTTACTGTTATAACGGTATGCATGGTAATAAGCGGTAGATTTATGTGTTTGAAGAATGATGCTATTGAGTTGAGGTGAATTGAACAGCTCGTTGAATGCATATCTCATTCGCTAAGCGTATGTGATTGGAATTTTCAACTGGCTTATGATTTTTTTTTAAGTGCATATTGAATTTAAGCTTTAAGTGAATCATACTACGTAATTAGCACTACCTAGATGTTCTAAGCTTAGCAATAACTCGCAGGTTAAATTCTAGTTATGGAAGGAAAAAATGAACCACTTGTAGGCGCGTTCAAGTATAGAATTCGGTCTCGTTTACTCTATTTGTCAGTGAGTTACAGACCACTCAAATCGTGTAAAATTGGGAAAATAATTTAACTCATTACTCACGATGTAAAAAAAAAATCCCATCAGGCTCATTTCAGGTGTTTTTCTATGAGCTTCCTTGGTGCTCCAAAATGGAATCTACGGGATGATCACTCAATTTAATCCGTCTCGTAAAACACAAGCTAATTGCTAGTTGATCCAAAACAAAAAATATTTTTTAGAGTTTCGACTTTCAAAAACTTATAGTACAGTAAGAGGTAATTGGACATATTCATAGTCGAAATAAAGTCGACTCAAAAGTTAGCTGCGGTTTTTAACACATATTTCGTTGAGAAGTATGTCAAAAAGCAGCAGCTAACTATAGAGTCGACTTTATTTTGATTATGAATATGCCCTAATAACTCATACTTTCAAAGAACTACATATTAGGTTCTTTCCCGTACGCAACGCGGGATCCCACGGGTGCCCAAAACAGCCCAGAAATAATTTCATTTGGAAGAAAGAGTTTTGAAGGTAACTACAATGAAACTTTGATATTAATTTAAAATAAGAAGCTGTTCACTCTTGAATTATTGCTTTTTAGGGAATTATTCAGCAAGTTTTTAGGATTACAATTTTTCTAAGCTATGAAATAGAGCGAATATTTTCTGGTGGCCTCATGTGGCAAATGCTTATATCAAGATATCAAAGGGCCTATACACAGAAACTGGCAATCCGTCTTTTGCCTGTGGAGATGTGAGGTTATGATCGACTAGTCGTCGCTTTATAAAACACTCAAGATCTCTGCACAATCTCATATGACTGTACGTCAAATAATTTACAGCTTAATAGCCTATTTCCACCACAGTCTTAACTGCAGTTAAGAGCTAAGAGAAGTTCAAATAATTCTAACGTGGGGTGATCGGCAAAGTTTTTTTCTTAAGGTTTGCTTTTTTCCCTTCGTCTTTTTCTACTTAATAGGTGGAATTACCACCTTCGAGTAGAGTAATCTCCGTTTTTCAAGAGGCATAAACTGCTGTTAAGGCTTGGTGGAAATCAACTATAATACTTGTTATATACTTTAACAAGTTTTCATCGCCTTTATAAATTTACATATTTATTTACCTCTGTGTTCTATCGAACATGCCTGGTAATTCTAGAAATATTCTGGCACACCTTTTGGTAGTCCGTAGTTCTTTCATTCTCCATCGAAACTTCTGTTATTCTTCTGCTTTTTTTTGTTGATTTTTCTTTCTCATTTTGCAGCATTCGCCAAGGATCTTGGTTTTTATTCTAACACCATCTTCATTTCTCAAGCTAACTTACAAAAAGTTAGAACTATTTATAATTTCATGAAGTCCCACATGTCTCTATCATACAGTGCTCTAAATAAATTTGCTAGCCTTCAGCATCTTAATAGACCAAAGTTAGAGTAGAAAGGTGTGTATGAAGATTTCATAATTCCATTCGGAGGCATAGTTATGGATACCCCCATTGAGTGCCTGAAATTATATTGTCTTTTTAACGACTCACTGTTCCAGATTGAATTATGAAGGAGCGATAGCACCTCTATTATTTCTATAAATCAGTTGCTCAAGTGCTTAAGTCGCCTTGTTTGAAGGCCTATACATGAATATAGAATATGTGGAAACGAGGAGGAAGCTTCTTCATGCCGAAATCGCACAGTATCCTCGAGGATGATGAAAAGGATTCTTACTTACCACTTCAAAACTTAATCAGTTCATTTTTTGTTAACTCTCGGCCATAAAAACTTTGAGACTTTGGTTTGGTATGCCCGTAAATTTTTATCAGCAAATTAAAAAAAGGCGGTTTAAGGCATTTATCAATCTCCCTAATCTGCATTTCCGAGCGTGTCTAGCCATCTCATCGACATTTCCGCTCCCTCCTGTTTTTCTATGTCCGGGAACCCAGAAATATTTACGACGTCATGACTCAGTGACGCTATTGGGTAGCGAAATTTCCAAAAAAAAAAAAAATCGACTTCAATCTCAGCACATTTAATACCGCTGGCTTTCAAGCAAGACTTACTATTTGGTATTAGACAAGCAGCCTTCTACATGGCAAAGGTCTCCGCGACACTGCAGTATTTATGCAGACGATGTGATTGCCCGTTCTACAGATACCCCTAATATAGGCCCGTTTCAATTCCTCTTTCCATTTTTGAGCCATCGGCAACACCATCTTTTCCCGTCGGCAATTCTTATCTAGTTCGAAATCATGTAATAATACTGAAGCGGCAGTCACAGAAAGGTGCAATGTGATCGCTGCGTGCAGATAGTCAGTTTGTTTACACGGTTTTGTTTCACTTAATATTTTTGTTGTCGAATGGCCACTACCAAACCCTACCTAAATTGGTCTGTTGATCGCTGTCGTTAATCTAAATTAACGGTAGGCCTAATAGACGTGTTGTTTCGACAGTGGCGGATCAAAGAAGGATATTTATTAGCTGGGTGTGTTTAAGAGGGAAAGTGAAGGAGTTTTTGGTACGAAAATTAACAAGCCGGATATGTGTTAGGAAGGTCAGGGTCAAGTTTAGGTGAATGGGAGTTAGTTGTGCCGGAATTACGCGGGTCCCTCTCGTCATCTGAAACTCTACGCCTGCAATGGGTGGTAGTAGAACTTATATGATGGCATTCACAGGTCGAAGGTGCCTTCTGACGTCCCAGGGAGAAGGCTATACTTCCAGAAAGTGTCTATGGGGATGCTCCTAAGCAGAAATTGCTTGCAGAGCATTTAATTGCCAACAACGTCTTTGTCTTTGTCCTTGGGTCTGCCGGTGGACACTGTTTCATTTAATCTAAGAGCCTCTCCTTCGGCTGCACCAGTTATGAAGACTTCCTGTCATCTTTATTGTTCCCTTCATTTAAAGGTCCAAACTCTGGACTATTTTAATTTTCCTAACGTTTGTCACTTTTTTTAAGGTCATTCCATCCTCGCAGCATCGCTACAGAAAAGCGTTTGTCTAACAATAATTTCCCTTAATTACATTTTATTCGTTAAAGGAACCGGATTTGCTTAGCAACTGGAAACGCACCAATATCCGCATAGTACTCGTAAATACAAAAAAAAAACACTTTTATCCAATTTTCAAGGCATTTTCGTAGCTTTCTCTACCCATCATTCTCCCACTCTCATGGCAGCACGTTCAGTTTAACCTCATTTAATTGACAGCTGCAAGCGAATTTTGCGCTTAATTTACGCTGACCAAGCGGTAAACAGTTGCCGAAATGGCTGATTAGATACTTCACTGATATGTACATATGCGAGCAGTTTCATTTACACGCCAATTTTCACTTCGCAAACATGCATACCACGGACTTACGCAATCTACTTTCGCCCATACCCTCATACAATTTTCACACACAGCCAATTTTGCTTTCTCTCCACTACAGATACCCTCGAGCAGCTGGAAAGCATACGTCATCGCACCAAAGCCAACGCACAAATGCTTACCTCCACGATAAATGCGTTGCTCGAACGGCTACAAGGCGTTTGGCCCACACTCGAGCACAGCTACGCGGAATTGCAGAGTTGGTCTAACTCTTATTGGACAGCAGGTTGGGTGGCTGCCCTCGTTATCGGCTGGGTGCTGCTCTTCGGTCTCATGTCCTACTGTTGCTTCCTCTGCGAGTCGAACGTCAAGGCTGGCGTGGTGCTGCTGATTTCCGTACTGATTATCTGTTTGGGCAGTATTTGTATTACCTTCTATGGTGTGCTGACACTGGCTATTGGCGGAAATACAGAAGTCTTCCTCTGTCGTTCGCTATACGATGAGGCGGCGGCTGGAAATGGTGGCGCTGTTGGTGTTGCTGGTAATTGGGGTAACAATGCTGGCGATGTGTCAGATACATCTACTTATCACTTGTTGGGTAAGTTATTCGATAAACCAGGTTATGTGTACGCGCATGAACCACAGACGGGCATCATCGGCGAGCTGCTACGGCCGGAAGGTGTAAATCGTTCGATTGTGAATGTTAGCCTCGCAACGGCGCTCAGGTATGGATTAACTTATGCATAGAAATAGTAAGAAAGGCGCTGAAAATTTAATTTTTGGTGCTGGTTTTTTGGTCCTATATGTATGCTAACGAAACCATATCCGCTCTAGCCTACTTAGTTATTTGTCAGCCCACAATTCCTATGCCCTATCCGCTTGTAATTGATATGCAACCAACGTACACTTATCTTAGCCTAACCAAACGTAGCTCTAGTTCGCAATTCATATTGCATAAGCTGCAAAATATACGGTTACACAGTAATGCCATAAATCCAATTAGCTTGATACTGTACGTGCTTCTTTTTTATTCACCGACCTGCTGGACCTACTCGCATATAAAATGTGCGCATATTCAATGCGAGATTTTTTTGCTCCTTTTTTCGCACAATAAACCAGCGTACGCTAGGGCTCCTTCGATTAGTGGTCAGTTTTAAATATTGCCATATGAGCCCCACCATATCACACAGTATTTATTGATGAACGTAGTCTGCTCCTTCTCCACTTTTCTTAATAGCAGATAGCACATAACGAACTACATTAAGATTGAGCATTCCTCCTTGCCCATTCATGTTGGCAAACTGTAGCACTTTAAGCTATTTAAAGGGTATACAGATACAGAGATGAAGGAAGAACATTTCCCAATTCAACTTAAATATGTCCAAACATGTTTTTATTGTTTTAAGTACATCGAGCTATTAGATCGGTAGGTAGTAACATGAATCTCCTCAGGCATCTTGCGTCGGTGTTTAAAATCTTACTAAAGGTTCTGGTAAAGGATGAGTATAATTCTCACCGTCTATTTGGTAATGAGTACGAATATTTCTACGATTAGAGTTAATGTCCATTTTCATGAGAGTGAATTCCTATTATCATTAGAATTATTCTCATCGTTTACCAGAACGTTTAGGTCAGCCAAGAATCGTGGTCCTAGATGCCGCAGCCTGCTTCTGAACAACACGGGAAAATGTCACAGGAGAAATAAGACCGTTTCCTCCTTTTCGTAGCTCTTACAGCTTCTGCAAAATCTTCGTAAAGGTCTTCGGGCCATTCTGCATGTTTTCAGCAAGTCGTACTTTAATGCCGTCTACTAAATGTGTAGTGGTTTCTTCCGAGAATTTCGGTTACATGCTTCTCTACAACCTCCATGATAGTAGTTTGATAGCGTAAAAGAGATTTTCGTGAGAACACGCCTCCCTTAGCCTGCCGTCGAGCCGTCTATGTAGATGTCACTTCTCCTGCGTTTCCCCGCAAAAAATCACTCGAAAATGTTTAATCCGCCCATAGTAAACACGTGGAAACCAAAAGTCAAAAATAAACGGGTTCGGGGAAAATGAAACTCATGATAACGCTGATCTTAAAAAACATTGCTTCCCGGAACCAATACCAAAGCCAAAGCACAACGGTCTGTACTGTTTGTAATGAAGCAAAATTTATTTAATATACAAGCGTGTCCCTGGGTTTCAGGTTGCCACTAGGATGCCTTTCTTAAGTGAAGGACAGCGAGCGCTGCTATCTGTTGTCCTGCCATATCTAGCGACACGGAATCTGTATTAAACCTGGATTACCTAGGTTAAAATATTGTAATATCTCTACAAATTGCGCTGCTTCCGGTGATACGCCCGGTACACCAGCTCTCGCCCTGGGTCTCTTTCCTTGTTTTGAGGCTTCATTTGTTTTTCAGTTGCCAAACTTAGGCAAATTTGACACTCAAAGTGTTGATGAAACGAAAGTCAGCACATTCGACTCATGTTACCCGAATAAATGCATAAGATAAAGCGCTACAGCGCTGTATGTAGATGTGTGTTGATTTTTGCTTTTTTCCCCACCGAAATGAGATCATTTAAGATACGATAAGAAATCATAATAGAAAGTTTGCTTTCCTTAATGCCTCGAATGAGGAAATTAAGAGCTAGGTCCCCACCATAACCAATATCAAATCGGATTTCATAGTAAGCTTCGGAAATCTTGATATACGCCAAACTTATATGGACAGATTTTAATATGAATTGCAGAAAAAAGCTCCAAAGAAAGTTTAACATCTAATTGTGTATCTCAAAGTCAAGTCTCAGCATCATAAGCAGGGATGGACATAAACACTAAGCTTTAGTGCTCTCAAATCAGTAACGACAGAAAAATATCCCATGAAAGAATCTTTTTAAAGCTTTTTGTAGATTTTATAAAGAACCGCACAAAACAAAGCTCCAAAATATATCACGTTTGGGATGTGTTTAAGGCTTTCTATGGGTTTTATATTACTGAAGGCTAGAGGGAGCTTTTACACTGCGCGCGTCCATATAAAATTCATAGAAAGCTTTAAAAAGTTTTTCCGCGAACAGTATAATATCTCACTGGTCATCCTTGCAATAAATCAGAGATGACCAGCGAAAGCTTTCATTTTGTGCCTGCCCTATACAAATCGTACAGAGCTTCTGGATGCTTTGGCACGCGTGCCTATGAAGTGGCCAACTGTGCATTAAATGCTATCGCGCTCTGATCGGTACACTCTCACTTTGTGTGAGCGCACCAATGATGACCAAAACAAAAAAATTTTTTAACTTTCTGTGGACTTTATATAAATGCGCCACGAGTGAAAGCCCTCTCTTTTCGCCGCTGCCTTAAAGCAGACACGATCAAAATATTTCCTGCTAGAGCAGTGACGGCTAAAGAGAACATTTGCACTGCGCGCTGCAATATACAATTTATAAAAGGCTTTAAAAAGCTTCTCTGTCGTCGCAAAGTTACTATACGTTTTTGAATACCAATAATACCTACAATTTAAGACGTCAAAGAGAAAGTGACTCGACTACGAGATACATGATAAGTAGACATCAGAGTTTTATACTTTGAAATAAGCCTGAAAATATGTACCATAATGACTGTAAGAAAATGTACCTATACCAATTTATATATTTAACTTATAGGTATAATTTTGCATAGTTTTAGGCTTATTTTTTTAGCATAAAAATCGAATGTATAATGCTTGAGCTGTTAGACTTTGCATTTTGAAGTGAATTCCAATAATGTAAAAATCTACTTATACCACCGTGCGACAGTCAATTTTACAAACACAAAAAATTAATATGATCGCGAAACTAGGGACCAAAATAGTAAAACTGCGTTTTTGGTTGTTCTCTCGAACATTAGGGTATTTGTTTAAAAAAAACTTTGAAATTTCAAAGATATGATTAATGGAAGAATTTGTTTAAAAATTATAATTATAAAATGGAATAGCAATATGGGTATCAAATAAAAGAGAAAACTATGTATAAACTAATTAAAAAGATAAAATGTTTTGTTACACAAAGACAAATAGGTGTGGAAAATGTCCTTTTCAAATTTTATCCTTGATTATTTATCCTTGAAAATTTTCAATATTTATTTTTGAAAAAATTTCTATTTCTTTCTAACTTTTTTAGCTTAAAAAACTAAAATTAATTAAAAGCGAATACCCTTTCGTCCTTGAGAACCAATTTTTTTTTAATTTTTTATTTTTTTTTGTTTACTTTCATTTGGTGCACATATTGTTATTCTACAATGCACTGCATTTTTTAAATATTTTTTTTAATCAATCATGTCTTGCAAATTTGAAAGTCATTTTTAAAAAGATTCTAACGTCAGGGAGAAAAAATAAAAACACAGTTTTACTATATTTTTCCCATGATTTTGTGAGGATATTGACTGCTTCGTGTGTTTTGAAATTTTTTGTTTTTTGTCGCCCGGTGTTATACGTTAGTGTGTTCCTGAAATCTTCAGTATATTTAGAATGCTCTTAGGCAGCAAGTTGCAAAATTCTGTGATTGTTAGATACAACTTTTAAATGCCTTTGTATGCGTAGCAACCAACTCAAAATACTAAATACATAAAATTAGAACTCCACACCAAGCTTTTCATGCTTTAAAGCTTTCGACGCATACATATACATAGGTATAGCTTAATAGAACGCTAAACGTCAAAAAAGCTTTGTGTGGGGTTTCAACTTAACCCTGACCAAAAATACTATATTTTCCCTAAATACCTGTATACCTCTATAAGATAGCTGTACCGACAAATGTATATCAACCTTACATTGTAAAAAATACACACCTTTTAATACCTTCAATTAAAAAACTGACCCCTATATAACTTTTTACCTACCAATTTCAAAATTTGGGCTCTTTCTCACGTATGAAGAAAAGTAAAATCAAAATTTTCGACGCGCCCTATTCACCCCACTTTAACACCTTTTTAGCCCCCACTATGCCCCTATCCCAAAAAAAAGTACGAACGCTCTTAGAGTATACCACCAATACCAATCAGGATTTATTTAAAAGCCCCGAATAGTACGTATTCTGTTTATAGCCAGCTTAAAAGCTTCACAGTTGCCTCTCTTTTGTCAATAATTAAGACATTTTAAATCCGTGCACTACCCACTATCTGTTCTGCTACAAGTAAATAGTCGTAAGACACTGAACTAAACCAGTCTACCCCTTCCCCCCTCTGCACACAACCACTGTACCAACATTACTTATTCACATACTTAAGAGAAACAAAATGTTATTCTATCAAATTTCTTTACCACTTATTGTCTGTCAACAACCCTCGAATCGCCTGTTTATGCCTCACTTCACGACGGCAATTCTCGAAATAATCTTCAAATCAACACGCCTAATACAACACATGCGTACATACATACATACGCACCCACAAACTCGCCTCGGGCTCTGCCACTATTGGGTCTAACGCCATTCATTGGCTCTTTAATCTCAAATCACGTCCGTCCTTCACTACAATGTTTTCTTTGTTTGTGTGCGTTCGTATCTCTATTCTGCTCGGCATGGTGTGTTTGTGTGCATTTGCAATTTATTTGTGTGGTTTGGTGTGCGACCCCCACACACACATCCCACACTTGAGAGCAGAGGTTGTGAACAAAACCAAGCATCGTACAATGTCTTCCAACTGGATGCATTCGTTAATACCACACAAATTGCCGATTTAAAGCAATTCCCAAAAGTGACCACAGCCATTGATGCAATCACCGTATCCGAACGTACTATGCTCTCGCTGACGCAGACCATACAGAATATACTGGAGAATATGCTACACACTTCATCCTTCAATCTGTCCACATATCGGGTGAGCATTGGTGCACCGACGCCTGAAAAGGACTTGGCTACGTTCATCGATCAAATGCAAAGGGTGGCACTGCAGGTAAGCAAAGTGGGCGCTTGATAAGCGGAATGCGAAAAGTTTTAGGCAGCAGATAAGCATGTGTTGAGAATTCCAGACAATGAGAGTAGTCTATGCATGCAGTTAACTGTGTCGGAGAAATACTTAGCTCAGTTTGCCCATGAAATGAAAGTGAGATGTAATGATCGCATTCTCTTATCAGGCGGCTCAAATTAGTACAATTATCTTTTGTTAAGTTAATTGAGTAGTTGCAAATAGAAATCAAGTAGGAATATTTTGCGAAGTGAGTGTGAACTTTGAATGCGCTCTGACTTTCGTCACAGGGGGACGCGTATCGTGCGGTCATTGAATGTTTAATCGATTTTCGGTAAAGACGAAATGGTATCCAGGCAAGGTTGCGAGCAGTGTTGCCGCGCCGTCTCAAGAAAATGTATCCCTGACCAAGACAAAAATGTATCCAAATGTATCCAATTTTCTTTTTTTACATACACATCTCATAATTTGTAAGAAAACCAAACATTTTCATGAAAAAGACATAATTTAACCCATCCTAAGGACTTGGAATACATGTGCATAAAATCAAACATTTGTATCTATTAACAAAAGTAACAAAAGTATCTATTTTTCAACAAGAATCTGTATAAATATACGTATAGGTTGTTTAGTATTTGATTTTAAACTTGAGATCTTTAAGATATACACTTAAATACACATATATAGAATGTTTAAAATTGCAAACATTTTCAAACTACAAATACATTTCCTGCTAATAATAAACATTACTTTATTTTAAAAATTTTATGTGTAATTTTGCTCTTCCGACAAATTCGTTATGTAAAAGTAAACAGGCAATGATTAATTTTATTACACGGCATGCAAATTTGCACACATTTAAAGAGGAAACTGATTACTTCTCTCAATATGCGCAAATAAACAAAATTTTTTAGAGTGTATTTAAAGTATTTTCAGTAAAATTCATTTGCTCACACCAGCTCTTGGCTCAATCCTTATCCATTCGTCCTGAAATTTACTAGCCAGAAATGCGATTGCTTTATAAAAAAGAGAACCATTTTGAAATATAAGTGTTTTTACTCTCTAGAAAATAATTTATGCAACGTCACATACACGGTTTTGCATTATCTTGATACGCGGTTTTGCATTTGGTGATACGCGGTTTTGTACTTTAAACGACGATATGTATATTAAGATCTTGCGTAAAGCATCCTTTTAAGCTAATTAAAGTAATTGCGCTTATACCTATTTTGGTGAGATCTCTTCATATGTTCATTGCTTCGTTCACAAAAAATAAAATGCTTTAATTTCACGCTTAAGTAGCGATTCTTTATACGTTTAGAAAACGTAATGCTTTCTACCATCTTTAATGAAAGTCGATTTTTGAACGAAAAAAACTTTATAGGAAATATAAAATTTTGGGCTATTTAAAAAAGTATCCACATTTATACTGACCGGAAAAAACAAGTATCCCCCAAAAATTCGTCGAAAAATGTATCCAATTGGATCTATTTAGATCCAAACGGCATCCGTGGTTGCGAGTACAGATGGGTGCGGAACTAAATATTCAATCCCGATTCCTCCCAACCAACTTTAAATTTTTAGGTTCCGACCCCGCCCTCCCCAGCGGTTTTTAGGTTTATAGAACGGGTCGCATGGGTCCCGATTCACATAACTTTCTACTTAATTATAAACATTGTAATAACATAACCAAAAATCAGTTCTTTGGAATTTGTACGAAATATTTACTGCCGTCCGCCGTGGCCGAGTGATTATACGTACGCGCTAGCACTCCATAAGTCCAGGGTTCGATGTCCGGTTCCAGCAACATCGAAATTCTTCTAAATACCGGTCGCATATCGGCAGCCAAAGGCAAACTTCCAAGTGAATTCCTACCATTAAAAAGCTTCCTCTAAAACCATCTGCTGTTCGGAGCCCGCGTAAAACAGTGGTCCCTCCATTTGTAAGATAACATAAAGACGCACACCACAAGCTGGTAGAAGGAAGATTCTCTGGATTTTCGGAAGTTGCGGATTTTATTGGGAGTGGTGAAAGAGAATTTTTGTCCCGGTCCACCGGAAAACTTTTAAGAACCTTCCTTATACCGGCGATTTTGGAATCTCTGCATAGTTACGAGCCCAGACTAGCTCTTCAGATATGCCGGTAATTTTCGGCCGTCTTACCTACCCCTACTTAACCAAAATTTATATACATTTCTGTCTATGAAGAAAGTGGAAATAAATAGAAAGAGAAAGCCCGTCTTGGTAGGTGGTGTCATGCCTTTTGTAATGTCCTAAGTATATGCAGCCTTGGACGTTGTTGCGGTTCTTCATATGTCGCGACGTCCTCGAAACCTAACACGATCTGTAAACTCACTGCTTCTATTACTAGCGTGACATATTTATGTCCTATAAATACTTGTACACTACAAAGTCCCCATTTTCAAAACTTCTAAACTACATATTCTTAGTTTACCAACTTAAGTAAATAGTCTATCAAAACTTTGTAATGGACTTTACAAATTCCGAAAATGGTGGACTCTTTGCGAAATAATGGTTAACACACGATGAGGGACACAAATTTTAAACAATCCCAAACGAGGTTTCATAAAAACCAGTCATCACATGTCACCAATTTAACACTACTTTCTTCATCTTTAATCCAATAGATTCAAGACGTGGCCACCTCGTCTCGTATGACTACGCTCGGCAGTCGTTCAAAGCGTTTACAGGCATCAATCCTACAGCCACTCGAACAGTTACAAAACGAGATACTCTACCATCTAACCGCATTGGAGTTGCAACGCGATCCCTGGGCCAAGCAGGTCAATCAAACACTCAATCACCTGCGAAACGTACAGGGTTATTTAGAGAAGACAGCGGGGGAAATTTGTAGCAATCAAACGCGCGTTTATACGGAAAGGTTTGGACACTAGTTGAGGCTATACATAACTATTTGTTCACCTTTATATAATCTGCTCAATTTAAGATTGAAAGCCTATCTGACAAACAGCAAAGCGACAATGTCCTCGCAATTGGGCGACACCACCGCCAAATGTCGTCCATTCTTCGATATCTTTGACGCGAATCGCATCTTCCTCTGTCGCAATATTGTCGACTACATCAACGCATTGTGGTTCTTCATTTTCATTACTTTATTGCTCTGGTCGGTTGGTACACCCATTGGACTGAATCTCATTACGATACAGCGTCGTTTAAATCGTTTGCGACGCGCACAAAAACGCGCCGCCGAACGTTCGGATAGTCGCAGCCGGCGTAGAGAGCGTGCTACTAGTTCAGCTACACGTGAGCCGCGTAGTGCAAGTAGCGCAAGTCGGCCGCCACTGTGAGACAAAATCAAGTTTATCAATAAAGGTACTTAGCATGCCATCTCTTTTCAGCCGCCGTACTGCTACCGAAGAGACGCTGGACATAGCTACTGAAGAGTCACCGCCACCACCAAGACGTGAACAACGTGATATGCGTAGTCGTGATCGCGAGCGTGAACGTGAGCGGGAAGTGAGCCGTACGCGGGATAGTGCAGCGGCCAGTACGCCAGCACGTAGTCGAGCGCAATTGTAAGTAGAAAACTTAAGCTGCTGTTAACACACATGGATCTTAACTAGAACTTTACGAGAGCTTAGATGTATTAATGAATATTATCCTGCACGAATTTTGAACTCAATTTTTGTGTGCTCAGCCTTCTTTGTGATGCATTGATCCCATTTCAGACGCCGCACTGGCACAGATGCAGAGGATAATTGGGGTTCGTCGAGTGCAAGTCGTGCCACATCGATGGAACGCGAGGCCAGTCAGCCTAGAATGTACACGAGTAGCAGTAGCGCTCAGCAGCAGCAACAACAACAGCGGGGTGCTAAGTCGAGACCGCAACTGTAAGTAGACACTGAGGCGCTCCAAGGGGAAAAGGGAACTTTTTCTTGAAAATGTCGGTGATACTGCAAAATGTTCTGTCACTTATTAGCTCTGGTGCTTAATTGATCTGTTAACTGTATCCGATCGCTTCTGGCAATCGATAATCTTCATCAGCCAAAGGTGGACAGTTTTGTCATTCGTTTAATAGGGTGTAACGATTTCCAGATGCAGTCCGGTGCAAGTGAGAGACCATCTAAGTCTGAAGGGTACTAATAGACATAGACCGTTTTGCAGTATAGCCGACGACATAATGATGATGGTCTGGCATTTTGTCTGCTCCCTCGCTTTATGAGACTAGTGAATAGTCCGTACCAGACTCTCAGAAGTTTTTATACTCAGTGAGTTCTCGAACATTTTCTCAATAAATAAATATCCAATCTTTCAAACACAATTATCTTCCTTCCTTTCTATATACTAGAAGTACCTACGAATATGTACATGAATATATCTCTACTCTTCTTTCACAGCCGCAAACAAGGAACAGAAGAATTTGATTTGGAGGCGGAGGACAATTGGCAGCCAGCCCAAACAGCGAGCAGTAGCGCTGCTACACGATCGGAGTCACGCGCTGGCGTACGACGCGAGCAGCGAGAGCAACCGGCTTATACACACAGCAATGGACGCAATAAACCGAAATTGTAAGTCGGCCAGCTATGATGAGCGTAACTACAATACCGTCCTAAAGCAAACACCCTAAAGAACATAACAGCACATAAACGTAATAGAAATAAAGTCAACGTTAATTTTGGCAAACCTATGTATCTAAATTGGACTTTATTATCTCTATGTTTATGCGTCTTTTATATACATACATATTTAAATTACCAACCACTAACTACTTACATCCTCTCTCGCTCTCCGTGCCGTGTAAGACGTCGCTCCGACCGTGAGCAATATGATCGACCCTCTCGTCGCTCCATGACACCCGTCTTGCAAGCCAGTCCCGATGCACAGCCAGCCAAACCAATGCCACGTACACCGACGCGTCTGCGCCATCGCGTGACATTAACAACACGCGCCGTTGCCAATTTAATGCGTGCCGGTAATCCGCGCCATAAGAGGCTGTGAGTAGCTGTTGTTGGTAATTTTAAAACTGCACGAAAAAAAGTCAGTCTCCAAATATCCAACTAGTTGATGCGCAAAAAATGTATTTACTTTTTTTTTTTTAGTTAGTAAAAGCTCTCGTTAACCCGTCCACAATTAGCAGCACAACTCTTTGCTAGCCTAAACTACCTACAAGTATACTCTTTCTCTCTCTAACACTCGCACGACGTACGCTCCATTGATCCCAATAAGTCACCTTGATTTTCAGACAACCTTTATAAGTAGTTTTGGGTTGCTTATTAATTTAAAATTTTTTTTTAATTTTTCTTTATATTTATTTTTAGCCAACGCAGCGGCACCGAAGATTTTGAGATCGAAGAAAGCGATACCTATGGTGCGCCGGCGCAAGACTCAGCTGCGGTAGCTGCGTAAGTACGAATTTTCTATAAGCGCCTTTAAATAAAGTTTAACAAAACGTGCAGTCAACAAGATGGAAAAAATTTCACACATGATTAAAAACGTACCATGCTGTTCAGAAAAATATTTTAATCAAAATTAGAGAATGTCCCATCTCTCAATTGTACAGGAAATATTTTTAATT